TTTTAATATATATCAAATCGGTCTTGTATTTTGATTAGAGAAATCATCAGTAATTCGTGTAAGTGAAGTAAAAAATTTAGGAAAGATTTTTGACTCAAAACTTATGTTCAAGGAGCATTTTTATTATATTTTTAATAAATCAAGCATGCTAGACTTACTGGCGTTAGTGTCGTATATCATGTGTTTCTTTTATTTGATACAACCTCTGTAATTTTTTTATTTTTAAAGGTAAACATTAGGGATGTACCGATTAGTGGCCGACCGGTCGGATAAGCCGACTATTCGGCCGTTTTTCATCGTCGGCTGGCAGTCGGCGACTGGTCGGCTAAACAGCCGATCGGTCGGCTTTTTTTATTAAAATTAAAATAGTATACGAGTATAAAACAATTAAGCCCGGTTTACAGAACCTCAATTAAATATTTAATTGCGATTTAATTTTTAACACCGCGTTAAACTACCATGTGACCGACTCGACGCCAATCAAACGTCGCTAATGGCCTTGTTAAATGCGCGATCAACTTAATCTCAGTTAAAATATTGTATAAAGTGGCCCTTAGATTTTTCAGTTTCTCGATTTTCAATTTTTATTTCTTCAATTTTTGATTTGCATAATAATAATAATTATGACTTAAAATTTTTCACTTTTTCAATTCTACGATGCTAGAATTTTTCCATTTTTGAATTTTTCGATTTTTAATTTTTGAATTTTTCGTTTTGAGTTTTTAGTTTCTTTATTTTTTCAATTTTTAGGTTTTTTAACGTTGTGATTTTCCAATTTTTCAAGTTTTGTACTGAGTTACTACAAAAAAATTAAATGTTAAAATTATTTAAACAAATTTAATACATTTTTTGGAAAACAAAGGAACTTTAGTGATTCCTTTTATTAAAATAAAACAAATTTTCTAGATAGTCAGAGAAATAGAAAAAAAACACACTGTCTGTGGCATTTATAAACCGGTTTTAGCAAAGCCGAACAGTCGGCCGACTAGTCGGTTTTTACTGGCCGAACAATCGGCTAGTCGGTTAGCCGGCCAGACCTACAGTCGGTACATCTCTAGTAAACATATAGTTCTTTCAGCAAATTTGTATCATTTTAAAAGATCGCTAATGTAAATATATGACATGAGTGTCAATTTTACAAGCTAATAGATTGTCATCACTAAAAATGTGAATTTTTCGTCTATTTTATTGAATAACTTTTTTAAGTATTGGTTTTCGAATATTGCTTGCTTTTGATTTTTTAGAAAAAAATAATCCTTCTATTTATGAAAAGATATACCTAGTGTTCCATTAAAAAAAATAAAGTTGACGTCATTTCCGGTTCTACTAGAAGTAATAATAAAAATGTGAGGTTGCCATCGCATAGACCTTTTATAATGATACAAATTTGCTGGATTATGTAGGTACAATTTTATGATATTGCCGTCAACAAATCAACAAAAAATGTATGATGTTTGTTTTTTTTTGTTCTTCATGGACTCGTTAATAGTTATATTATATACATAATCGCAACTTATTAAATCGATTAACATTTCTAATACTTCCTTCAAATAGTAAATAGAAGAACCATGATGGAAACAACGAATAGGATGGCAGAAAATTCAATATTTTTATTACTTGATTGTAATAGAACGAAATTCAAATCCAGAATAAGTGTAAGTTAGGTATATAGATTATGTAGTGTACCATTAATCATTATAGAATGTTAGTATTTATGATTAAGGATGTCCAGGAGTTAAATCTGGGAACCTGGCAGGCCAATTCATTTTTTAGGATAATGTTCCTCCAACCTCTGACTAGACCCGCAAAATACATATATACTGACGCACCGTCCAACCGTAACCACATATTCTGATAGACCCAACACATCTTGCACTTGATTTTGAAACAAGTTCAAAATTGTGTTATGGCTTACCCGGTTTGGTTTGAAAATTGTTGTTGAAATTCTCGTCTTGTATCATTCATAATAGGTACATGTTGGGTAAAGTATGATCCCTGCTCAAATCTACCAATCGACAGAAATATATTCATGACCTTTTTAGACGACTTTCGCGCATTCATCAGGTGCGGGAGGTCGAACTTCCCGCACGTGTGCTTTTTGCTTTCCGTTGCCACGGTAACCTTAAAGTCGCCGAGAAGCGTCAACAACCAATAACTCACAGTGAATCTCTTCAGTTTAAAAGTTTATTCGTTGCAAAAATTATTGTACACATTACGTTCATGCATGAAGGAGGCTATGCCGAACAAGTTGTGTAAATTACTATTGGTGCATGGTCACCTTCTTGTCAAGCCTGAATTGAATCTTTGTGTATCGCCAGGGGTAATATATATTTTCTTTAATTATTTCGTATACTGTGTTGAATTCATTCTAATTATTAGGGCAATACCTCTAATAGGAGGAGATTTTTCCATGTAGTCAATAACTTGTTCCTCAGTTTCCACCGTACTTGTGCTTCACGGCCTACCATCAGCTTGAAACGTTCTTTTTGGTTCAATGCATTCCGTTTCCCGTAACAATTTGTTCAACAAGTTTCTATCTTGCTGTTTTCTTCGTTCTCTAGTTATGCTACGCTGATTTTGTAAGTATTTGTGGCATTGTAAACAGCCTCCATTTCCAAAGCACGTATCAGAGCATCACTTGATGTCTTGAAAACAACTCCCATAATTGTGGTGTGCATAGTCCTCCGTGTTAATAGTCATAATCATAATAATTGTGTTAATTGTGTGATAGTGTCATTTTTGAGTGAAGTAGTGATCGTAATAATGCATAATAATACCTTGTACCTTGTATGTAATGGAACTATATATTAAGGAAGCTAACCGAATGCAGTGTGATTTTTGTAAATCTTATGTTTTGTTAAGATGATCAAAGCGAAGTGCATATGTGATCCGGATAATATACCAGCATTAAATATTGTGGACCGATGTATTAGTTGTTTTGTTGTACATTTACTGTATATCTTTAATTTATTTATTGTAACATATACCTACTAAAATGGCAAAATCTCAAATCTCTCATGTGCCTAAGTCTGGAAATAAATTTGATATACCTACGTGGTTTCAAACCAATTACCAGGGTTGGGACCAGGGCCGGCTCTAAGGAACCAGGTGCCCCGATGCAACTTACTGCTCAACGCCCTGTAAAAAATTATAGTAAAAAAAAAACTAATAAAATTTTGTAATAACATACTCGTATTTTTGTAGAGACATATTTACTTTTTATTAACAAACATACAATTGTAATGAATCAGTAGGTATATAAAATAAAAATATAGAAATAAATATGTAAATATATTAGTAATTTTTTTCAATTTTTAATATTTTAAAGCAAATACGATTTCAATAGCATATTACTAGAGACCGGAAAATATGCAGCAAAATTTTGGAAAATATGATCATATGATATGCATCAAATTTATGCAAATATGCAGTAATTTTCTTAATATATGCAGATATAGTGGTTCCGGCGAGAGATTAGGATATTTTGACAGTTGACATGTAAGTTGGCAGCAACCTAATACTATAAAATACACTGAAATTCCTACGCTGTCACTCACAGCTGGCTGTCACTCTCTCTGTTACAAATGTAAAGCTACTGAAAGTTCCATTACTAAGGTTAGGCCACTTTTCTGACTCTCATCTCCAGTGCTTCTTTAAAGTACATACGTGTCCATTTGAGAGGGCGCTTGCGAAAAATAATTCCAAGATCAGCTCGTAAGGCCATGCTCGGGCCGGCCCTCAACTGAGTAAGCGTATCGCTTGCCCAGGGTTTCTACCTGGTTTCTCCGAGTTTGTGAGCGACTCGCACAATACGAACACGTTTCGTAGTACGACAATGATCTCCGATAAGTCTATTTTACGTATATTTTTTTGGTAATAACTTAATTTATTGCAATAATAGACTTCTGAAATTTGAAATGACAACTTAAGACTAAAGATGGTATAAAATCAAAACCAGAACTCTCGTGAGAGTTGCTCTCCAGTGGACACGTACTTACACTTATGTTTTGTAGCGCTTAAGATTAGAATGATTTTGAAATTTTAAATTTCGCGCGGATGGTACACTTTTTTTCGCGCATATATGCAGTTGCATATGCTCCAAAAATTAAAAAAAACTTAATAACCCAACAGGTTTCCCGTACTTACCTTTTATTACAAAAAAAAAAAAAAAAATTCTTATATTAAAAAATAAATATGGGTAAACAGAATGAATTAAAAAATAGTAGTAATCGACTATTTAATTACTATTTTGATAACAATTAATTTTGAATATTTTTCGAAATATTCTAACAAAAAGTTTTTCCAGTGATTCTAAAGTATGTATTTGTAAATAGAAAAACTGGGTACTGCGTCCACAGATGTGAAAATACTTACCGGTTTAGAGCAGGCCCGACAAAACACAGTTTCTTCTTGAAGAATAAGTTCAGGAAAAGGTTTAATCCATAAATTAATTTGAGTTATCTACATATTGACACACCTGTGTCGCTTTAATAAATGCTTTGAATGCAAACACACGATGAAAAACAATTGTATAACGTCCCTTCGACCACCATAAAACATACCATTAACACACTTAAATAACGAACAAAAGTATTGGGAATGAACGGTATTTCCAAAAGTAATTAGAACCCGAATTTACCTGGAAGGATGGCTTAACACCCAGTGGTTCCTCCAAACTACCATAAAACCCAAATCTTTCCTAGTTATTTGAAGCTCAGGACAATAAATATGATTCATGAAATTTCGTCTTTCTAGATAAATGTGGATAGAATGGCAATCTTTTTTTTTCAAATTATCACAAAAATTGATAAAAATGCAAAATATGCACCCGTTACGTGAAATATGCAACACAAAATTGCATATATGCAAATATGCAATTTATTTTATAGCTGTATTCATTTTTAATTAGCATGATTCGTTTACATATTAAATATCTTATACTATTAAACGAGCAAAGTTTGTATATATATATATATATATATACGTCAATAATAACTTTTGGCCTCGCGCCAGATTTAGGCAACAAGTAATGGGAGAATATGAAAACCACATCCTAGCCTCAAACCTGTCATATCAGTGTTCAAATTTGTATTTATGGTTGCATCATTTACAACAAGCGAATGCTTGACACGTTTTAAAGTAGGTAAATATTTGGAGTTATAGTTTAAACTGTTTTCGAGTAAAAGAAAGAAAAGGTGGTATGAATCAGTTTATTCAGAAATAATTTTTTGGAATTAAAACAGCCACATAGAGGCTGAAGAAATTAAGATAATCAAAGAGAAAAGAAAACAACTTAAAACTAGGAAAGCTTACTTCGTAGTAAGTGCAATTATATTCTATGAACATTTAATACTACTATAAAACACCAAAGTAGATTATTCATATTTCTTATGAAGTTAGAGATTGCAATTATTAACAAAGTTGACAACGTATGGATAAAGTTAAATATATATCTTTTAGTCAAAAGAGGTGTCTGCATAATTTGTTACAGTGTGTTTGCAGGTATATTTGTACAATGCAGCAGCTGCTGCATTGACTATCCAAATGTAATGTATAAATAATGATTTGTCTGGTGTATGGTGCAGTCTTAAAATTAGGTATTTTTACTATATTTCAATTGGATAAATATTTTTACACATATTTGTAAATTCTCGTGCTTTGCCAGTTTTAGACGTTGGAATTTTAATTATTAGCGTATCGTTTTTGTCTTGAATGCCGTCATTATTTTTCAATTTATCCATTCCACATGCTCCTACAACTTCTAATAAAAAATAAACCTAAAACATAATGATTTATAGACAATGTGATTGACCTTGTTTGAGATCACCTTTAACATCAGGTACATTTAATCACGGGCTTCTGTTAAAAATTTTGGTAAGTCTTCTCTTGTAAATATATTTGATTTCTTGGCAATGTAACCTATATTTTTTGCTTGAAAACTTGGTGTACTTAGATATATCTATGCTGTTTCTTATTAACAGAGTTGACTTTAACTACGACTATGCAGCCCAAAGTGTTAAAGATTTCACAGAATTTGCTTTTTCAGCGAAATACTCGTATGCAATGAGGTGTTCTCCATATATTTTGCATGGTTGTTTCTGCGCAAAAAAAAAATTCATACCGCTTTTCATAAACTGTGGCTGAGTTTTTAGGTAATAAATTTGATATATTATCTGCCAGTTTTTGCAAGTTCGGTCGAATGCATGTAAACTGCTTGTTATTATTGCTATCCATCTCTATTTTGCAATTGCTACAGATCTTTCTGCAAGCAAAAATATTAAAAGTGCCGAAAAATAAGAGGTATGCTTCATACTTTCATTTAAAATGGGCATGTAAGCTAATAATCTGTTCTGTAATAATAATAAAAGCTTATTATAGGTTATGTAGATACAAGAAAATTGTTCAAATTCTTCCATTCCGCATACTCCTACAACTTCGAATAAAAAATATACCTAAAACATTATGTTTTATAGACAATGTGATTGACCTTCTTTGAGATTACCTTTGACATTAGGTACATTAATCACGGGCCTCTGTTAAAAATTTTCGTAAGTTTTCTCTTGTAAATATATTTGATTTCTGGGAAACATAACCTATATTTTTTGCTTGAGAACTTGGTGTACTTAGATTATATCTATGCTGTTTTATATTAACAGAGTTGACTTTAACAACGACTATGTAGCCCAAAATGTTGATTTCACAGAATTTTCTTTTTCAGCGAAATACTCGTATGCAAAATGAGATATTCTCCATATAATGTTTTCCATGGTTGTTTCTGCACCGAACAAAAACTTATTACAGGTTATGTGGATACACATTGTTCGCTGCCATAGAATGTCGCTGCACTTCAAGAAATCCACTGTTGCCATGCAAGGTTGCGACGTTGCGAGATTACGCGCAAATTTAGTTAATAAATTATATTTATAAAATTAATAAACCGGATGTGTTTCTAATAACTAATAAAAAGGGTTAACAAAGAGTATAGAATTACTGCTAAACCGAAAAACAATTTATAACCTTGTAAAATGTAATTGTGGAGGTAGATAATACTAATATGACAACACCGCATTTAATTTCTGTGCCGATTTTTGAACATAGAAAAAGCACATTACTGCGCGATTTCGAAAAAAGAAACATTACTATTTTTTAGCAGCTTTTAACCTCTCTTTTTATATTTCTCCAAGAAAGGCGTACATGTCAATTTTAAAATACCAGTTTAAGTTGGAGTAAGAAATTTACTTTTATGGTTGTGTGTACAGGCACTTCTACAATTAGCAGTACAAGTTTTTGTTAATCTCTTAAATTATTTTTCTACTTATGGAGCCAATCTGGATATTTGCTTAAGGGTGTGCTTTAAATTTTAGGAATTAATATCTTGGAACGTCATGCATCGTTTCCATACATTTTTGAGCTTCTGTTTTATTTTCTAATCACTTGGAATTTCATTTCCAAAAACAAAAATTGTACTTGAAATGATAGATATGAAGCTCATTATTCCGAAACATGTAATTATAAGATCAAATGTTACTATGCATGAAATGTATTATTTGATATAAAGTAACTTTTGATATCGCATTCTTTAGATTTTTTTCATGGGTACTTTACAGTTAATAGTATCACCATGAAATTGTCTCTTAGATTTGTTTTTCTTTCTTCCGGTATTTGAATCACAATTTGATAATCTTAAAACAACGACAATTAATTTAACTTTAGCTTGAGTTGTGAACCTGAAAGTTGTTTTGTATGAATTTGTGTGACAAAAGTGTACTAAAGATGAAAATAATTACTTATACTCTTTTATAATCATTAATTACATTTGTAGCAATTTTTGGCCTCTCGTATTTTATATTATTTTATCCAAGAAACAAGCGAAATTTGAAAAACCAGTTTAATATTTTAATGGAGCAGTAATTATGAACCCAAATGTTGCTATGGATAAAAACTATTATTTGACTTAAATTAACTTTTGGAATCACAGTCTTTGGATTTTTTTCGTAGATACTCCACAGTAAACAACATAATTATAAATCTGTCCCTTTGATTTATTAATTTCTCAATCCGCCGATATTTGAAAGACGATTTGGTATTCTTAAAACAAGGGTTACTAATTTAATGTTTCCTTGGACTGTGAGCCTGAAAGTTGTTTTGTATGAATCCATATGGGGTCAAAGTGTACTAAAGATGAAAAGAATGACTTCGTTTATAGCAACTTTTGGCCTCTCGTGTTTAATATTTCTCCAAGAATGTTTTTAATTTTGTAAGATATTGGGCCAATAAAACATACACCGACAACATTATTTGCAATTCTTTCAACCACCTATGAATTCATAAAATATCAACTTTTGCATCTTTAATTGAAATATTGTTCAATTCTAATCTAAACCATGAAAACTATAATAAAGAACTTCAGTCCATAAAACAAATTGCAATAAATAATGACTTTAAAGTAAAATTAATCCACAATCTAATTGACAAAATAAGATACAAAATTAAAAAAAAAAAACAATGTTGCTCGTTGTTCAAAACGGACCATGATACTAAGGAAGACATAGGTAGATATTATTTTCTGGATTTTATTGAAACATTATCTTACAAAATTAAAAACATACTAAATAGAGTGAATAAAAATGTTAATATTTCATTTAGAAAAATTAATTCAACCAGAAATCAGTTACTGAACAACAAAGATAAAATTACTTAACTAGATAAAGCCGGAGTCTATCAATTACAATTTGAATGTTGAGATTGTGCCTTAAATTTTACGAATCCATATCGTGAAATAATACACCTCATGAATTTCACTGGCTTGTGTTGAAATTTCGGGTTTCCAATTTTAAATTTATTAATCTAGTACTTCGTTCCAAAAACAAAATTGTGCCCGGAATGATGGGTTAATTACCTGTTTTCACATATACGAAGCGCACGAGTCCCAAAGTTACCTAACATGCAATTATGAGGCTAAATGTTGCTATGGATGAAAACAATTATTTGAATTAAAGTAACTTTTGGCATCACAGTCTTTAGATCTTTTTTCATAGGTATTTTACACTTAACAACATCATTATGAATTTATTTCTTAGATTTATTTCTCAATCCACCAATATTTGTCTTAACCTCATAGAAAATGTTTCGTCTTATGGAAAAAATCTGAATCTTTACACTTGGGGGTGTGCCTGAATATATAGCACCGAATATTGCCTCACATGAATTTTACTGCCTCGATTTGACCAAATTTTGGGTTTCCGATTTTAGATTTAATCATGTACCTAGTACTTTAAGATATGTTAGCACATGAGTACGAAATTATGAGGCCAAAAGTTTCTATGGATGAAAGCCATTATTTGATTTAAAGTAACTTTTGGCATCACATTCTTTAGATTTTTTTAATAGTTACTTCACAATTAATAACATAATTATGACTTTTTCTTTTAGGTTTATTTCTCTTATCTGTTATTAAAATAACTGCTATTAAGTTAATTTTAGCCTGGGTTGTAAGTTTGAAAGTTGTTTTCTACGATTCTGTGAGGCCAAAGTCTACAAAAGATGAAAATAATTTTAGGCCAGATAGTTCAACACTCAGCCAATTATTTATTTTTATTTATACTATTTTCGTGTGGTATAGCAAGAATAATGGTCAAAAATCAAGTATTTTAGGATCAAAAAACGGCACATCATTTTCCAGATAATATTAACACTAATAAGTCTAAAAATCTAACCAAATATTGACTTTTTTAAAGTGTTATAAGTTTACTGACGAGGTGGCTGAGAAAGGGGATGAACCCTGAAACTGGTATCACCAAAATAGTATAAATAAAAATAAATAATTGGTTGTTTGCAGAACTACCTAACCCAACTTTATACCCACGCTAATATGGAAACACACATATCAAAATAGTTAGCTCATTTATAGCAACTTTCGAACTCTGGTATTTTATATTTGGCTAAGTAGCAAGTACTTAAAAAATTTAAATTATCACTTTAACTTTGAATAAAAAATATTTTTATGAATGCGTCTACAGATACTTCTACCATTCACAGTCTAATTTTGCCTTAACTTCATACAAAATGTTTCGTATTATTGAAAAAATCTGAATCTTTACACTTGGGGGTGTGCCTGAATATATAGCACCGAATATTGATTCACATGAATTTTTCTGCCTCGATTTGACCAAATTTTGGGTTTCCGATTTTAGATTTATTCATGTACCTTATACTTTAATGTATGTTAGCACATGAGTCCGAAAGTCATTCGTCATGTAATTATGAGGCCAAAAGTTTCTATGGATGAAAGCCATTATTTGATTTAAAGTAACTTTTGGCATCACAATCTTTAGATTTTTCTAATAGTCACTTCACAATTAATAATACAATTATGACTTTTTCTTGTAGGTTTATTTCTCTTATTTGTTATTAAAATAACTGCTGTTAAGTTAATTTTAGCTTGGGTTGTTAGTTTGAAAGTTGTTTTCTACGATTCTGTGAGGCCAAAGTCTACAAAAGATGAAAATAATTTTAGGTTAGATAGTTCAACACTCTGCCAATTATTTATTTTTATTTATACTATTTTCGTGTGGTTTAGCAAGAATAATGGTCAACAATCAAGTATTTTAGGATCAAAAAACGGCAGATCAAATTCCTGATAATATTAACACTAATAAGTCTAAAAATCTAACCAAATATTGACTTTTTTAAAGTGTTATAAGTTTACTGACGAGGTGGCTGAGAAAGGGGATGAACCCTGAAACTGGTATCACCAAAATAGTATAAATAAAAATAAATAATTGGTTGATTGCAGAACTACCTAACCCAACTTTATACCCGCGCTAATATGGAAACACACATATCAAAATAATTAGCCCATTTATAGCAACTTTCGAACTCTCGTATTTTATATTTGTCTAAGTAGGAAGTACTTAAAAAATTTAAATTATCACTTTAACTTTGAATAAAAAAATATTTTTATGAATGCGTCTACAGATACTTCTACCATCCACAGTCTAATTTGGTTTTAACTTCATACAAAATGTTTCGTATTATGGAAATAATCTGAATCTTTACACTTGGGGGTGTGCCTGAATATATAGCACCGAATATTGATTCACATGAATTTTTCTGCCTCGATTTGACCAAATTTTGGGTTTCCGATTTTAGATTCATTCATGTACCTTATACTTTAATGTATGTTAGCACATGAGTCCGAAAGTCATTCGTCATGTAATTATGAGGCCAAAAGTTTCTATGGATGAAAGCCATTATTTGATTTAAAGTAACTTTTGGCATCACAATTTTTAGATTTTTTTAATAGTAACTTCACAATTAATAATACAATTATGACTTTTTCTTGTAGGTTTATTTCTCTTATTTGTTATTAAAATAACTGCTGTTAAGTTAATTTTAGCTTGGGTTGTTAGTTTGAAAGTTGTTTTCTACGATTCTGTGAGGCCAAAGTCTACAAAAGATGAAAATAATTTTAGGTTAGATAGTTCAACACTCTGCCAATTATTTATTTTTATTTATACTATTTTCGTGTGGTTTAGCAAGAATAATGGTCAACAATCAAGTATTTTAGGATCAAAAAACGGCAGATCAAATTCCTGATAATATTAACACTAATAAGTCTAAAAATTTAACCAAATATTGACTTTTTAAAGTGTTATAGGTTTACTGACGAGGTGGCTGAGGAAGGGGATGAACCCTGAAACTGGTATCACCAAAATAGTATAAATAAAAATAAATAATTGGTTGATTGCAGAACTACATAACCCAACTTTATACCCACGCTAATATGGAAACACAAATATCAAAATAATTAGCTCATTTATAGCAACTTTCGAACTCTCGTATTTTATATTTGTCTAAGTAGCAAGTACTTAAAAAATGTAAATTATCACTTTAACTTT